CGTCGAATGGCTTCTCCCGCCGGTGAGGTCAGACTCTTACTGACTAAAAACCACCCTGTTCCTACTCCTGCACTTAGAGCCGGATTACCGGGATCCGGTTCTAAGTGCCCGTTAGGTTCCGCGGCTACCTATAATGCACTTTATTATCTAAGAATTTGTAATTGGAATAATTGTGCTTACCCCATAAAGACTTGTAGGGGGAAATATGAGTGACCTCTTGTGTTCTGACTTGCCTCTCACGCTGGTCATGATGAGACATCTGAAAAATTAAGGAAATTTTTTAAAGACCAGTATACATATCTTATTTTTAAATTTTTAACGTTTAGTTAAAAGTACTAATCATAGGAGAAACGTAAACATAATATAGCATCATAATGTATATTTTATTTACCAAATTGTTTTTTACTTACAAGTATAATGACATTATTATATACATATTCAGAATTTCGTGTTACTGTATTTTAGATCTTTGTTAGTAGGTACTGCCTTAAACATAAAAATACTCACATTGTAAACAAAATCTTGACGCCCTTCATTTTGAAAATCACAATAATAAATAATATATAGCACAGAAATATAATGTAAGTATGTACACACAGGCACTCGTACGTATATACTGGTATGAATATTTTTAAGATGCGCAGGCGACGCGAACTGGCCTACATTTTACAAAATTATCACTTGCTTGCTAAATTACAGTGCGATACTTTTCACTCCGTGGAATTTTCTACGTATTCAGTGACTGCAGTACCTGCGTCAAGTTTTTGTAAATACAAAATAGTTATTTCAATAACAGTTATCGAAATAACTAGGAAGTTATTGATTTATATTCCATATAGTTTGATTCCGTGAAAATTTTGTTAAACGTTGGCTCATATCAATATTTTCATTTGCATCCGTTTTTTTGAGAGATATCAGATTTACAGATCGAGAAGACGAAAGAAAAATGTTATCATGGAGCCTGGATTCTCCTAATAGTTATTAACCTCACTTACTCAGCGTAACGCAAGCGTTGTTTCACGCCAGATTTCAAGGCCGTGGTATCATTGTGATCAAGTAAACTCATTCGTGCTGAAACATAGCTTTCCCACATTATGTTACATTAAAATTATGTCGATTCTATCGGTGCACTGTAATCGTTCGAGTGGGCTATAACATTAAGACCGTTATGTGAGAACTACACAGTCAGAAGGGAGGTACCACTGAAGGTTCTAATTGACCCAGAACATAAGGAAAGTGTCCCAGAATGTTTAGCTATATGTTTGCTTAGCAACAAGTAGTATTTTTTGGATGGATTTTGTATCTTTAGCTATTCTGTATTTCACTTTCAAAATATCTTTTCTATGACATGACACTCTTTGATGTGACAATTCTATTATTTAGAGCGTATAATATTATTGTTAGTTTTTCTATAAAAAGTTAAGAAAGATAATTATATAGGCAGATATATCATAATTCAATATTTACTTTTCAGGCAAACAAAACTTAAAATTAATAAATAATAATAGAAATCTATGGATGAATCATACACAACTGCCTTTAAGTAGCAACTGCTGACCAAAACCCTCTTCTTACACGGAGAAGGTTTGAGCATTAATCACCACGTTTGCTCAATGCGGGTTGGCAATTTTAAACTTATAATTAGAAATTATAAGCCCAAGTTTCCTCACGATGTTTTCCTTCACCGTTTGTCATATATGAATGAATAATAGTACTTAACTATTAGACAATAGCGACTATGTAACAAACGACAACTTTAATAATTTGACACCAATATTGGAAAAGGCGATCTATAAAGTATTTTAAATCATAGGTTCCAAGCACCAACATCACCAACATTGGTCCAAATTGTAAAATTTATCTCAACAGTGACTCACAAATTGGCTTAACGTCGTCTTGACAGATGTAATCGTGGAATTTACGTGACAAAAGCCCCTCAACATTATTGAGAGGTGTTTACACGAGGTCTGCTGTAATGGAGCCATTACTCATGTAAGTGACGTGATTTTAAAGGATTTTGAACTTTAAAACAAAGTAGGAATTTGATAAAAAATTATTTGGGTGAAAAGAATATCCAAGTGTGAATTAATCTTTGGAAGACTGCTAGCTTCAAATTATTATGGTAATAAAGATTATTATTATGTAGATACATGAATAACAAATGTTACTATCATTTTATACAATAAGATACAAATTTAATATCTGTTTTTTAAACTTTAAAATAAAGTACCGAAATCATCTCATTTTATATATGATGGGCCGACGTTTGACCGCTATCTCGCCAGTATTTCACTTAATTTGCGAAAGCATTAACGGAGAAAACTGCTCCAAATAGTTTTACAAGTTCGTATATTTTTGTTGCATATAACTTTGGATTTGTATATAATATATATAACTGTTTTCTTACTAAATCATATTTTACATACATAGGTGCATACTTAAGCATATTATATTTATGTTGTATTATAAAAATCCGTAAGTTTAACAACAATATTTCTCCGGTTTCAATGTGAAATCTCTTCAATAGAATCTACATAATAAACTAGAGATTTCCTTCAAATGCCAAAACCACCCTCGACGTCAATACTGTAAGACTAGCTGTTGTCCGCGACTTCTTCTGCGTAGAATATGAATTTGTGGAGATAACTTTTTTTTGTTTTAATTTTCCACAATAAAAGTAGCCTGTTTTACTCCTTAGTACATTAGCTACCTACCAATAAAAGTCTTGCAAAACCGGTCCAGTCATTCCAGAGATTAGGTAGTACAAACAGACAGACGGACACACAAAAATTGTAAAAATATTATTTTGGCATGTATGTGCATGTAAGTAGTAAAAAGCAGTTATTTTCACATTACAAACAGACACTCTTATTTATCTATGTAGATTTTCTTTTATTTCCCTTTATATAGATATATTTTTGCCGCAGAAAATTTTCGAGGTTTCCTCCCCAAGAGTAATTGCTCATTATTTTCACTTTTTTCCCATTTCAAAGCTATCGTTGTTTAGATTTGACTATTGATTTTGTTTCTTCGTTCTTTGATCTTTAACTTCTATTTGATATTGAACATACATTACTAAGAGATACCACTTAATAATATAAGCATAGTATCTTCGTATCGAATATAATTTATTTCCATTTATGTTCTGAGTTTTGACAATATCAGAAGTACAAACTCAAGGTTTGCCAGCGGGTCATGGAGCGCAGTGTCTTAGGAGTTCGACTATCCGACAGAATGACGTTGGTCATAAAGCCATAGGTTTGAAGTGGAACTGGGCTGGTCTTGTCTACCATGTCAGACGATCGGTGGGCAAAACTTACTACTGAGTGGAGCTCACTCAACGTCAATAGACGTCACGGCAGGCGCAAAAGGAGATTGCGGGACAAATTGGACATGTATGACAAGGATTGGCCGCAAAATTACATAGAGAGGAGTGGAAGGAGAGTAGGCCTTTGCCCTGCAGTGGGACGATCATGGCTCAAAGATAAATTAAAGAAATGTTCTGACTTCATGTTTCGTACCTAAATCATAATTATACATAACTAGCTGACTCGGCAAACTTCGTAGTGCCTAAATTTTTTTTCTCACCTTTAAAACCTTTCCTGACCTTCCGCGAACATTTCAAGATCAAAATTAGCCAAATCAGTTCAGCTTTTGTAGAGTTTTATAACGAGAATACTGTGTACATCAATATGTTTACTATATAGAATTTGTAACATGAATATTATGTTAACAATGTACTCCAAGACATTATACACATAACAGGAATATACGTTAATTATATACATAGAAATAAAAACAACATCTTCCTTCAAAGTTTCAGCTACCCTGAAAACAATTGGTGAAAAATCAACAGCCAGTTCTGTTCAAAGTGGACGCGTGTATCATCCCATACCAATATCGTGTAGCGAGCACTCACACACTCGCAACCTCGATCATGTTCAATTACGGCCTGATAATTACAATGTGAGCTCACCAAACCTACGTCGACACTGCATGGGGTTCTATAAAACCGGAATGTTTCATTAATTAAGCAAAATGATTGGGTGAAGAGTTATAGAGTTATAATGATAACGTATTTTCGTGAATACAATATTTGTATTTTGTTTTTTGACTTAAAGTTTTTTTAAGGGATCTGGAGGAGTGTTTTTGTAAGACATTGGTTTATTGTATTGTATTGCTTTGCGATAATAATAGAATAGAATACACATCAAAGATGACTAAAGGATTACACATGTTTAAACAAAAACCTAGCTATTACCCGGAGCTCCGGATGGCCTAACCCGAAGCAGGAGTATGGACGGGGTGGTTTTCAGTCAGCAAGAGTCTGACACTCCCTCTCGCCTCACTTAAGGCAGGAGAAGTCATTGGATGATTTTCTCCCCTACAAAAAAAGTGCTCCCCTATGAACCGAAATCTTTTATACTGCAATCTCCAACCCACTTGTCAGGCGTGGAGATTCATACCCGATTCGGTAATCGAAGCAGACTCTTGTCTTGTTTGCGATATCTACCGAAGGTAAATAAACAAGAAAATACAAACGGCAATAAGGTAAGGTTCGTCAGCATTACAGCTCAGTTGGTAGTTGTGCAAACAGGCGCGACCTACAAACATACAGCAACGAGCTACAGCAGACCTCAGCACTCCTTGTTTGTACGATACCTCGGTCAAATCAGATCTGCTTTACTTTACTCAAGTATCGAGTTGTAGGTATATAGGCTTAATGACAACATTTCTAACAAAGCATGCTGTGCTTAATGGAACGTTTGCTATTAAATCATTAATTATAATGTTTAACACTTTCAAACGAGCTGCTAATGAATATGAGCCCCTAAAGTGACAAGAAACTAGTCGAAAGTCTTGTTAAACAGTTGCGTAGTAAGTCGTTAAATATGAAATTTATTTAAATTGTAGGTCACGCAAAAGCTGTAATATAAAAATTTTACACCATTGTTTAATTTCAGAATTAAATAAAGGAACGAATATGATGTCATGTCGTTTTTAATCAGCATATAAAGAAATTTGTTCGAGAAGATTCGCCGGGCAATTTCTAGTGTATTTTCTACATTTTTTGTCCAACCCGTAGTACTCTGCTTCGTAGAAACTGTCATCTATGTCGTCTTCCGACATTGATGCGGATGGTCTGTGAATGAAATTATATTTGTCTATTATTTTTACATGGTTAATCACACTTTCTTTTAAGAAAATATTTTTAGTTCACCTGTAACGAATATGAAGTTAAAGTAATACCTGTTCATAAACATTTTTTTTCAATGTCAACTTTAACGAGGCATGGCGTGATCGTGTTCATCACCATTGATGATAATTTATTATTTAAGGCTTTAAAATGCAGTTAATAATTTTTAGATATAATTTTCGGTAACAAAAGCACACTTCGTCTAACTTCTTTGGTTTATAACAAGAGTGACGATAATGTTATGAAACATTTTGTTACTTACGTGAGCACAAGATATATCAGGTCTCCCATAAGTCCATTGTGCAGAAAATGAGAGTGAGCATTCTCGCATATAAGCTTCAGCAAGCACTCCCGGCCAGGGTACCCGTTTCTGAACAAAAAGTGTATTTTACTATAAGTAAATAAGAAATAACTATGCAACGAAATAAGTAGTAAATTTGTCATTAGTGAAAAAACGACGTTGTTTATCTTTTTATAATAACTGTCATGAGACATACTAAATTAACTAAAAATCTCGGGTTACTCACGTGAATATACTGAGAAAAGCTCTACTAGTTTCGAGCCACAAAGGTGTTCTTCCTCATGAGCAGCGTGCGCGGTTGCAGCGATGTCGCGCAGCCTACTGTATAGTAGAGCTTTTCTCAGCATATACACGTGAGTAACCCGCGAATTTTAATTAACGTTGTATATCGATTTGAAAAATTACAATAGGTAAAAGTCACGAGAAAATCATGAAACATTACATAGCGACAGGAAACCTATTTATTATTTAATTTTAAACATGTAATGAACTGAGTTTTTTAACATCAGTATTCATAGTTAGAAGGGAATTTACGATGTGACAATAATTACGTATTCATACTAAATATTTCTACGTGTAGGTACCAAACTAGAAATTAGTTTAAATAAAACTGTTAAATTAAATAAGATTGGTCACTGTTAGTTTAAAGTAACCTACACAATCCAAACTTCACTACTAATCCTTCAAAAGCAAGCGCAATCTATTTAAATAGTGTACTAGGGCAGCAACAGAATTAGTAGATTGCCGTTGTTCAGTGGTTAGAACTGCAGTCATTTGGTGGCACAAAGTCTCTGCTACAGCGGCATTTAGTTCTCTTGCGTTTTATGGGCGCCTGGTAGTTGTGGATTCGTTTAGCGTCGCTTTCAGCATTTTATAATAGGCCTACGAAATATTTAAACAACATTGTACTGACTTATACAGATTGCATAATAAATAACACATAAAATAGCACCACGCCTTTGATAGGCAGAGGTGCACATTACGGCTCTTAATGCCACTGTACAATGTAACACCCATTTTTCTCTATTTATATTATGAGTCCCATGTAATAGGGGGTAAGCCTTTTTTAAAACTCAGTAATACTTTGCCCGACTTTAGAATCGAGACCGAGACCCCTTGCCCGGCAATCGCACTTGAATCGCAATTGCACGCAACTGAATAAATAATATACTTAAGACGTAATGTTATTTGGTAATTTGTATTTACTAATCTACATGACAGTTGATTTATTAATTACACAGGGCTTGCTTGAAACAAACAAAGATTCTATCTATAGTACAAATAATTATGTAACATAACGCGCTGAATACCGGCAAAGAAAATAAACTTGACGATGATAGCGATCAATCAGTTTGGTTTATCAATCTAATAATGTAACATTAATGCATTAAGCTTCGTGTCCACTAGGCAACATTTGGCGCGGGGCATGTTGCGTAACATGTCGAGTCAGATGGTAAACGAGCAGATTGATCACCTGATGGCAAGCAATAGTCGCCACCCGTGGACAACTGCAACACTAGAGTTGTTACAAGTACGTTGCCGGGCCTTTTTTGTTTTAATTTTTTATTTCATTTTGACTACATGTAGGTGCATGTAATGTGCCGAATGAATGTTTTTATCTCTTTCTTTCATTGTTACTGTTTTTTATCATTGTTGTGCGTCAGCTGGCAACTTTGGCGTTACTCGAAGTTATGCAAAGATACCAAACATGCTGACCGTAACGTATCGCCCGTCAACTAAATATAACATAAATATCTTTTGTTAGTTAACTACCAGCGTACTCAGGAGCATAACTTATCACACGAACTATGGTTGCTGGTATATACAATATACCCAGAGTCACCAACTACTTTGGTGATAGAACACTAAAAAAGAGAATACCATATCTATTGAATAGTCTGCTGACGGACATAAGCAGTGAAACAAATTCAAATAGGTTTAAACGGAAATTGAAGTCATATTACATAGAAATGTCTAATTCTATATAAGTTTCCTGTATAATATTTATAAGTACATTATAAGTACACTAGCGGACCCAACAGGCGTTGTCCTGCATATCCACTTGAATGTATAAACAAAAATTCATTCAAATTAGTTCAGCTGTTTAGGATAAATAACCTAAACATCGACTGCAGCGCCTTCTGCCGGGCTGATTTGTGAATCTAAACCATTTCCAGATCCCCTTGACCACACACAAAAAATTCCATCAAAATCGGTCCAGTCGTTTGAGAGAAGTTCAGTGACATACACACTCACAGAAAAATTATATGTATATAAAAAATTTGATTGTATTGCCTAGTGACTCGACTCCACAGTCAAACCATTGCAACGGTTATGTGGGACTTAAATTATAACATACTTACCTGTGTGATTTAAAGATAAATAAATAAATATTGATAAACTGTTGCCTAATGAACACGGGCCTTTAAGTCATGTGATGGATAATGATAAGTTGATTGATAGTGACTTACTTTTCCAACATGGATTCAATTAGTGTGTATATGCTGCTTCGCGTAATTACTTTTACAGGAGCCTGTATGCTGCGATCATCTCTCTTTCTTGATACCTGTAATCATAATATAATGTATTTTTTCAGACATGATAGTTTTGAGTCTCTTTATTTACAAATAATATAAACTTAAATAAAATATATACTTAGTAACTATAACTTGAGATACACGAGAATGAATGGAAAAATGTTTTAACTTTAGGTAAGTTTTGTTGTCTGATATTGTGTCTCGTTGGATGAGTCTTATATTCAACTACGAAATGAGACGTTTTAAGAGATTTTTGAACGATTTTCGAAAAGGGTAACTTTACAAATCATTTGTACCTAATCCGGGAATCGAATAAGACGTCAAACACGCTTCTAAACACTAACATCAAAAATATAATATGGATATCGATCTAAGCTTTTGACAGAATAGAAGTGGTATCAAAATTTTAACTTGATTCAAAGACTTTGGGTTGGAACCCAGTCGGGTGTTTTTGCTTTAACAAATAGTGAGACGTAGCCTCTTATTGTTATTCAAATTTAGACTCAAAGGTCATTAAAAATAATACAAACCGTTTCAATATCGCCGAGCAGAGGCTCGAAGTATGTAGCATTGGCGACGGTGTAATAGTTAGCTTCAAAGAACCACGCGACGCTCACATAGGACTCCGGGTGTAAAGGAATTGATACTGTTGCGAACACCTGCAAAATAATAAAAAAATACGTAAAACGTCTTTAACCTACATTTTTTTAAAAAGTCGTTTAATATACTAAGACTAACTTCTAAGTATAATAATAATTTTCTGAAAACCACAGTAAAATCGGTTCACTCAATTGCGAGATAATCCCGGACAAATATACCTACACGGTTACATAGTAACAGGTCAAACTGAAAATGTTCTTCTGCTAAAGTCGTTACAAAATTTTCATGGTCTTGAATTCGCGAACTCTTCGTGCACGTGGTCTATGTACGTATGTGTATATACATAACCAGACGATGATAAAAAAGTAATAAGTAAATAATAAAACTTAATATACAAGGACTGCCTCATTGGCCAAGTAATCGCAAGTGTGACTGCCGGGCAAGGCTTTTCGGGTTCGATTGCCGGTTCAAGCAAATAAAGTCAGTAGTAGCACGGAGTGTGGAAATGTGCCCGGTATATGGCAATAGGCTCACCCCTATAGACTAATAACATAAATAGTAAAAAGTGGGTGTTACATTGTACAGTAGCATTAAGTACCGTAAATGTACACCTCTGTCTACCCTTTCGGGGATAAAAGGCGTAATGTTATGATGTTATTTAATAATACTCACACCCCACTGTGTGCTTGGTGTGAACAGTAAATATCTTCGCTGCCTCTTCTTTGTGACAGTTTCTTCACAAATAACACTTAATAACACAATGCTCCTGGAATAAATAAACATGTGTTAATAATATTTATTTACTTGTTTTTCTTACACTGCCTTTTATATTATAAAACACTTTTGCTATTCTGTACTATATGCCTTACACACAAAGTTTATATTGGAACATCAAACTCCAAAAAAGTATCAAAATTTTCACCAATAATGTAAATCTAATGTTACAATTGATATAAGAAGTTGCATTTATCACATGACATTTGAATAAAAAAATACACTCAATAAATTAAAAAAAAATCACATACACAATAATATAACAGCCGATCAACATTTTCGTATATTTTTTTCGAGATATAATCTTTTTTTTCAGTAACTATTATTCATTTCACAGAAATAGAACCAGCCGTTGGGGACCTGTCACACGACAGACTACCTTTTTGTATTTACTGAAGTAATTTGGTGTACGTCTTCTCTTAATTTTAGTAAATACAAAAACACGACTCGTATATAAGTACTTTACTATGGGATATTGTGAATAGTTTTGAGGTCATTGCCCTTTGAATAAATGGACAGTTTTTAATATCAAGTAAACCACGTGGTAAAGAAATATCTAACGGGAATGTATAATTTCATATTGTGTAAAATTAATTTTTAGCAATTGTTCGGAAACGTCTCGGACATCTCGATGACGTCGATGGAGGCGGCACTGGCGGTGGCATCAGAGGGGGGACAGCGCTGCGCGGGGATCAACATATACGAGGACGAGGATCGCGGCCCCTTCCTTTCGACTCGATTAGCTGTGAGCACTGTACGCGTTGCGCGCCGTATATTTGTAAAGGCACACCTACCTTCCGTCGAATAAACCAGTACCTTTAATCAGCATCATCATTTATACAGTCCAAAAACTCTCCCCAACAGCAATAATGCTTTTTTATATTTAATGGGTCGACGTTTCCAAAGCTATCTCGTCTGGTGGTATGCGATGATGCAGCCTACGAAGGAGCACGTCTGCCCATAAGCAACCTATTTAACCTTGGACCTTGAAGTTACCCTGGGTATATATATCCTTTAGGAAACATAGATTCTGGCATTGAATTTCGCTTCTTAGCAGTACGCATAGGGAAACTTGAAGCGAAGCGCTTGTGAACATGATTGAAAAAGAGTAACCTATGGAGTTTCTTGCTCGTTCTTCTCCATAGGAATCTACACTTTGGAACGAGCAAATAGCTTCACTAGAGGACTGACCTACAGACTGACATTCTTTTCTTATTATTTAATATTTAAATATTTTGTTGTGACGTTCAAAAGTACCTTTCTGGTCTAATTGAAATAAATGATTTTGACTTTGACTTCGTGCGAGTGGGTGGGACATCCACCATGAATCGATGACGCTACGCCGATGGTCTTATGATACAATTCCTCCGCACACATAAATGTATCTGGAAAAATTTCTCAATTAAAATTAAACTTATAAATAAACATGTACATCAATAACTAGTTGATTTAATAATAATTGAGAAAAATATTTGTTATAATCGAAACAACTTAATAAATTCATATGATAAAATGGAATTAATATTCTAATATCCTATTATAAAAGAAAATTACATCTTCGTGGAAATTTTACGTCACAGCATAAACTTATAATTTATTATCCTATGAAATTGATTAGTCCTTTACATCTACGGAAACAATATAGAGGGTGTTATTTAAACTCCGGATATTGCAAATCGCGTTCAGCAAGATCCCATTAATATTAAAATACTTTAAACCACATTTCGCAAATCGAGTTTCAAATTACAAAGATTTACTGAAGAGAATTGAAGGGTTGTCTCTTAAATAAAACTTGTCGTTTCTTCAATTTATACGTAATTACTGGCGATTAATTAAGTGGAAAATCTTGTGATACAAGCCTTTGAGGGAACTCGCTCAATGATTCAACGGTTACATAGTTTCGAGTGATAGTTATCGGAGTATTTCTCAAGTTTGGGACACTCTGTTCAAATGTTTAATGTGGTATCGATTGGGTTGTTACTAGACGGTTTATATTGTTCAACAATTTGTGATTTAAAATAAGTGTTTAGTGGACATTGTATTTGTTCATTATAAACAATTAAATTTCTAACGATGCTTGAATGTATGAAGGAATCATAGTAGCTCTCCTTTCTACGTGCATTGTGAAAAAAGAATTGTGAATTTGTATGGCTATGTTATAATCTTCGTTAATATTATACATGGGGTTTCATAGTATATGTTATGAAGTCCTTAATGTAGAAAAATGAAACACTGGTCAAAATTAAAAAAAAACACTAAGGCTCCTAAAAGTTTGTTCAAAAACTTCATCAGCAATCAATTTCTTAACACAGACTTGTAAAAAAACGAAATCACAAATAAGGATAAATTAAAACAAAACGAGACTTCGAAATTCAAAAGAGACATGAAACAAAAAGAGAAAATCAAAGAAAAGAGAGGTACTCAACAAACCGTAATTATATCACCAAAGATGTCCTAATTAAACAGATTGTTTTACAATCAGCTTGTCTCGTTTTAAGGACGAGAAAAATCAGAATTAATTTAATTACAACGAACATAACTCATGAAATTCAAATTCGACTGAGGTGTATAATAATTTGGTAGGGAAATTATGGATAGAACCGAAATGTAGGCACCATGTAGGTGCGGATGAAATATTACATCCGATTGTTGCTTTAAAAATTATTTCGAAAAGGGAAATTTTTCGTACATATCTACCTTATGTATATCGTCACGCCTGTCTCCCATTGTGGTAGGTATACATAATGGGACACTAAATGATATGATTTTGGTTTTTACATTGGTATTCATTAATTTACAGTCTGTCTTGAGTTTTTACATCCATTATTATTTTATAGCAGTTACAGGCTGATGACGATGAAGACTCATCTGATGTCTATTATAATTTAATTACTCTTTATAATAGCTTGTACTCGTATAATAGCTTGATCCATGGAATAACATATTACGTACATGTTAGAGTAAATTAATAATAGAGTAGATGACTAATTTTTATTTTAATATCCGTCTGGTAGATTATTTAAATTCCACGTATTTTTATTTTCTTACGGAAACGAATAGTTTCGAAGATAATATATTGATTTGAAATATCGCAAGACGTCACTTTTGAGTACGATTTATACTCTAAAATTACGTAACTACCTCCCACTCCTAAACTTTGATTCGTTTTATCTAAGTATTGTCTTCTTATACCTACGACAAAATGAAAAAAATACCTTTACCTAACTGACGGACTAATTACATACAATTAATATTCATACCCTGTCATCGTCCCTATTACCTAGACCTTAACTAGTGTATACATTAAATTTTCCCAAGTCCTTGCTTCCAAAACCATAAGGTCAATTAACAACGCTCACAATATCACATAAAAGGAAAATCATGATTTCGCATTAAAAAGGCTCTTTTTCATAACAAAATACGTGTACGAACACGCATAAAGGAGAAAAAATATCTGTTCACATATTGCAGCGGTGGTGTATAACCGCAGAATCCCATTTTAACCCTTCATTTCAATAAATTGGTCGGCGCAGTGTACAACAGACCTAACTTTGATGCGGTTCTATGGACCCCGTACTACTGCGCATAGCAAAGGTAAATGTTTGCAAGAGAAATGCACGCGGTTGTGGCAATTTATAAAAATGAGGAGAAAATTTCTAATGCTGAACGTCGGCGCGTTGTTATTGTTCTATTGTGCTCTAGGGTTGGTTTTACTAAGTTGCTTTGTGGTGACTTAATTTAGTTGTACGGTTTCTTGTAGATAATGAATTAAAATACTTTATTTTCGTTAAAAGTTTTTTGTAAAAGATTGATATTTTTGAACGTGTTTCACCTTACTGTGATCGAGATTCAGTATTAATATAAAATCAAATGTGTAGAACTATGTGCAAAATATTTTGATATAAAACCTTATTTTCATAACAATTTTATCTAAAGCTTTCATTTTTCGGCGCTTCCATGTAAAGCCTCACAAACCATGTGTAAAGTAGGCATTTCCGTGAAATGAGTATGCTCTAAAAATCTATGCCTCATGTAGACTCATTTCAGTATCAAAATATAGTGTGTATACACTCATAGAATGGGGTCGTAATGTGTAATGTTTTGTTAAACGGAGGCATGTAAGTTTTAACCTCGGCTCGGCGTTGGCAAGCATCTGTGCCGTTCGGTACAGGCCAGAGCACTCGGAAAACATAACGGTTCATTAGTCAGACATCGCCGTAGGCTCTGTGTAAACATTCTAACATTTTATCTTATACAGTATTTACACTCCGTCGGCGCCGGTGCGCTCAGAATCGACGTTAAAACGAAATACTACGATGTTGCTTGCTTTAATTTTGTTCAATTTGCTTTCGCTGTTTGGGGCGGACGCGGGAAGGCAGAGGCGGTACCTCGTGTACCCTGACGGTGGCCCAGCCAGAGCACAGGTATTTCCCCCTGTCTTATTAGAACAAATCCATGTAAATTTACATAGCGTACCTGATTTAACTTAAGTAAATGATGTTTTCTTTGCACAACGGATAGGGCTTAACGAAGCAGTGTCTTTTTTGTTCGTGAATTTAAATGCAATTAAGCTTCTGTCTGCCTTTTGAAGTGTACCATGAGAGTTTTGTTTTTAATTTATTTCTATTATTCGGCCGTTTTGTCTGTTATTTAATGTTCAGCTTTATAACATAACA